GTTCTAATTAATTCCGTTGGTTAGACCCCATGCTGTAGTGCTATCTAGTTTCTCCTGGAGTTTACGTGCATATTCGTTCAAGGAGGACGCAGACGCGAAAAGGGCAATGTCATCTGCGTAGCCAAAGCGGCCAGTGGAAAGACGTAGTGCCTCTTCCATAGCCAGAAGAAAAAAATTGGCGATACTGGTGAGCCCTGTGGGAGACCACAGTGAGTTTGGAAGGGCGGGGAGGTAGTATCTTCAATAGAGACGATGGATTCTCGCTGCTCCATGAAAGATGCTACCCAGCAAACCACGTTTGATGGCCATCCTTGGTTTCGAAGTCTGTAGCAAAGCCGTCCTTTTTGGATACCATCAAACGCCCCTTGGACATCGACGGTCACTATACCAGCTACTTTCTTTTCCATCCATTTTTCCTGGATATCGCAAGCAAGTGCTGTGGTAAGGTCAGAAGCAGAGCGAAGAGGAATGGCACTGCATTGGTCTTCAGCTAGTACCAGATTTTCAGAGCTTTAAATGAAAGTCGCCGTGCTATCAGTCGCTCAAAGCCTTTACTTAGGCATGAAAAGAGGGTGATTGGTCTATAGGACTTCGGGAGGGTGAGGTCTCGGTTCCTTGATTTCGGAAGAATGATCACTGTAGACTTCTTGAAGGCTACTGGGTGTATTCCCGGCTTCTCGCCCTGGCGGAAGAGAGCTGACACCCTCCTACCAATTATTGGCCACGCTCCACGCGGAGACCGTCTAGATGCCACTAATTAGGAATATGCACGTGATATCACGTTATGATTAGTAATCATCCATTACAGGGTTCACCTTTTTTTTCTTAAATCATTTAATGTGTATTAGGCTACCTAGCTATGACACATGACCGCTGCTATGTATACATGTGGGATGACTCTTTTGACATTAGAGACACTCATACTCTGGATTTCATTCGCAAATACCACTACGAGGTATGCTTGCTCACAAAAACAGTCGACCCTCCTCCGTAAGTACTCACCAAAGGGAATTTCAAAACCTTTGATTATCCAAGCATGTCTTCGTCCTCCATGCATAAAAGCGCCGCGAGAAATGTGGTTGTGTTTTGCCGGATTTGAAGCAGGGATCTTCTGTCTCAAGTGGGATAAGTGTCCAAGCTATCCAGACTCTACTTGGCAGACCGGCCAAGACGATGTACCATCGCACCATCCAGCAATGACGGTGTTTGTAGTGTCGCTTACACTCTCGCAAACGAAGTCTTGGCACGCACAAAGCTCCATTTGTAAAAACTCCTTGCCAATATTCAAAATTCCACGCCTGTCGAGACTGTATCCATCCTCTGCATCATCTTTTTAGCTTGTCATGATCTCTCTCATGCCCATCCCAAAGAACTATCTCCCAAATTTATGCGCCACGCCTTGCTTCCTCCGTCGGGTGTAAATATCGGCGTGGGCGTGTGTTTGGTGACCAGCTGAGGCTAGAGAAGGTCGGTGAGCGGTGTGGTCATTGGGATGAGCATGTACTTGGTCGTACTCGTAGACTTGATGAGACTTAGGTAGGAGTCATACTCGTTAGGAGCGAAAAAACGGCGTGGTGGAGTAATTTGAATCATTGCCTCGTGGGCCAACTTCTATGATATTGCGAAATTTGGCTGAACTCGGCTCTGAGAGAATATTTCACTCTCAGGTTCGTAGAGGACACCGCGTACAAGTGTTCAGTCTTGCCCTCCCAATGACGTTTCGAGAAACGTAAAAGGCAAGGGGCACTGTACAAGGTGTGGCCTGGGCCATAGAGGAGTCCAATGTGGTAGATATATATATATATATAAGTTAAATGCCAAGGTGTGTCTGGTTGCTGTAAGAACTAGCCGAGAGAGTCAAGGTCAAACTTAGGAGTCGCGTCAACAACGCTACTCATGCAGGTCAGTCGCGTGGAGAAAGTTTGTACTTGGTAGTTTTAGTCCTTATCACTCTTGTGAATACAATACTATCGCTTCTCATTCTATCTGACCTCCTTCCACTGTGCTAATTCCCTTGTCTTCTCTACAGTCATACAGCTATAGAAGGCCTCCCAATTAATAATAGATATATATTATTCATTTTCCCTGATTTGGCGCCATGAGGCCCATGCAGGTTTTATCGGAAGATATGTACTTTAAGTAGGACAACTCAATTTGACATTTAGAACACTCACACTCAGATTTCACTTACAGATACCACTCGAGGTTAACCCTTACGGCGTATGACCTCTTCCGTGCATACCCACCGCAGGGAAAAGTGTGAAAACCCTGTGACTATCCGAGTGTGCTTTCATCATCCCACAAGTACAATATCACCGCGAGAGAGAGTGGTGTGTGGGTCTGACTGGATTCGAACCAGCATTTTCCTGTCTCGAATGGGGTAGGTGTTCAAGCTACCCAGTATCTACTTGGAAGAACGGCCCGGATGATGTACCACTGCACCATCCAATCCAAATGTGGTAGATAGCCTAAGACTCAAACGACATGATAAAAATAGGCATCAAAGTTATTCCACTTTGACGCCGGTCCTCTTTCGGTTGTAGATAATAAATAATTATTTTGTATAACTTTACATCATGACCTTGATCCCGCTAGTATCTAGAATTAAATTTTCCGAAGAATATAATCTACAATTGCTGAGGGATTTTCATCGGCATGATTTTATAAGGTCTGAAATGGTTAATAGGAGTGAAGCCTGTAGTACGAGTAGATTTCATCGCAATGAGAATCCCATGAAGCAAAATGAACCTTGTTGGTGGGCAAGACTGAACACTTGTACGCGGTGTCCTCTACGAACCTGAGAGTGAAATATTCTCTCAGAGCCGAGTTCAGCCAAATTTCGCAATATCATAGAAGTTGGCCCACGAGGCAATGATTCAAATTACTCCACCACGCCGTTTTTTCGCTCCTAACGAGTATGACTCCTACCTAAGTCTCATCAAGTCTACGAGTACGACCAAGTACATGCTCATCCCAATGACCACACCGCTCACCGACCTTCTCTAGCCTCAGCTGGTCACCAAACACACGCCCACGCCGATATTTACACCCGACGGAGGAAGCAAGGCGTGGCGCATAAATTTGGGAGATAGTTCTTTGGGATGGGCATGAGAGAGATCATGACAAGCTAAAAAGATGATGCAGAGGATGGATACAGTCTCGACAGGCGTGGAATTTTGAATATTGGCAAGGAGTTTTTACAAATGGAGCTTTGTGCGTGCCAAGACTTCGTTTGCGAGAGTGTAAGCGACACTACAAACACCGTCATTGCTGGATGGTGCGATGGTACATCGTCTTGGCCGGTCTGCCAAGTAGAGTCTGGATAGCTTGGACACTTATCCCACTTGAGACAGAAGATCCCTGCTTCAAATCCGGCAAAACACAACCACATTTCTCGCGGCGCTTTTATGCATGGAGGACGAAGACATGCTTGGATAATCAAAGGTTTTGAAATTCCCTTTGGTGAGTACTTACGGAGGAGGGTCGACTGTTTTTGTGAGCAAGCATACCTCGTAGTGGTATTTGCGAATGAAATCCAGAGTATGAGTGTCTCTAATGTCAAAAGAGTCATCCCACATGTATACATAGCAGCGGTCATGTGTCATAGCTAGGTAGCCTAATACACATTAAATGATTTAAAAAGAAAGGTCATTGACATGTAGTACGTGATGGATGCTTATTCAGCTCAGTGTCTACTCATAAAATCTAGCCATTCTTTTGATGGGACTTTCTACCGAAAAAAATATAATTTTTAGCAATAGAAACTGCGTGCGCAGGAAAAAGTCTCAAAAAACCTGCAGCCCCAGCTAGGCGAGTCCTAGACACCGGGACCACATGAGGTTCGCATATCCATCTATATCTCTATTCTTTGTAAGATTAGAGGCCCACTTGATCCAATCCACCATCTCCGTATTGGGTGCTGGGTACGCTGCGGAAACTCATCGAATGGCTTTTCCTCCATGAGAAAGGGTTTGTGATGAGTAGAGCTTCGACCCTACCATTTGATCTGATGGTGGTTAGCTTCATGATAATGGTGCTAAGAGATTGTGCAGAGAGGTGAAGACGATATATACTGCGAATGCGATTGGGAATCTTCATCGAAGTGATGACGAGGGTGTTACTCAATCTTATCTTTCTAGACTCTATAGTGAGAACTGGAGATTCGTAGAGGATACCACTAACTGGTGTTAAGTTTTCTATCTCCTAGCCCTGGTGATAAAAAGAGATGGCGCAAAGATAAAAGGGGATATGCCTTTATGTTATCGAAAATCGACTGGAAATAGGAACACTATTCTAGCTTGATCTTTATTTGTATGTGTAAAAAGTATATTCTAAACACACTAGGTGCTTGAAATAATATACCTTGATTCAAAGATTCAGTTCTGTCGTCTAGTGTCTTTTTCCACCAGCAAGCTTTCAGATAAAGAGTGAGCGTCAGTGAATTCATTAGACTGAGGTAGGCCCTTGATCGCTCTAATACAGGCCAGACTTTAGGGAAGTTTCCGATTGAAGCAATATAAGCCATAGCACGATTTTTAGTGCAAAGTATGAATCAAATTGATTGAACTGATTCTATCGGGCAATGTGATGAAGGTGAAATATCCATATTGTAATTACAATAAAAGTCTTCTAGCGTTTGCTTGAACTCATCTATTTTTAGCTTTTTAAGAAAAAATTATTTGGCTGGATAGCCTGTACTATCCTCAAATTTACCAATGCTCTGATTTTATTTGGAATCTTTAGACTTAGACTTGTGGTTAGCAAACAGTACCGAATACCTTATTTCAGTATTTGCACACCTAATATAATCCTGGCTTAAATTGTGAAGTAGTTTATTGAAATTTGCATCTTCACTTAACTTCAATTTTGGGATTTGGATATAACTCTACACCCACTTCTATTTTTCCATCGTATTTTAAAGGATCATGTTAAACAATTATCTCTTACGATGATTGCTTGTATTTCTTGCCGTTTTGAAATTCAACGTGGGAATTTTCTAATCATAGGTTCGAATTCTGAGGTAATGGTAACTCGCAAAATGCCCGGAAAGTTGTAAATTCCGTGTCATCACTTTCAAGTATGACGCCTGTATGGGCACCTACAAAATAGACATAACCCGCATGCACGTCCTCAATTGAAGAATTGGCTAATATTCTCCCATTGCCAGATGTGCATATCAAAACACTAGGACCTGAGATTTGCTCGAATGTAGCTTTGGATGCCTTATTCTTGAGTTCAGTTTTTACTACACTGAATTCTTCTATCGGAGGGTCGTAGAGGGTCACATAGGAGCCCGAAGAATATGCTTTAGAGTTCAGTGTAACGTAAGGATAGTCGACAGGTTGCATCTTTTGCTTCTCAATCGGAGCACAAGAATATGTCAACATACTTACTAGGGTATCGGTGTCTTTAAATTTGGGAGTGAGCCCAGCACGGATGACGTTATCCGAGGCAGCCATACACTCAACCACGTCTCCACTAAGATATGCGTGAATTTCATCTGCACCGAGGAACAGAGCTTCACCCGGTTCGAGCTTAACATAATTCAAAAAGAAAAGGACGAACAGTCCGATATCTTCAGGATACTGTTGGCTTAACCTAATGACCAACTGCGCCATCTCTTCACCGGTATTAGAGGGTCCACCTCCACCAGCAAACGTGGGACCAAGATCATGAGCATCCTTTAGTAGAGCTTTGCTGGCGGACATGATTTTATCTGGGTTAGATTGCATTAAGCAGTTGAAAATCTTTCGTAAACCTTCTTTACACGCCCTCTCATTGTCTGCATTTTGAGAGACCTGGATACTTTCGATAGTATCCTTGAATTCCTGTACATTTAGTCCACCAACCAGGTTTTGAAGTGGATTTACAGTATTAAGGAAGTGCAATATCTCAATTAATGGCCTAAATCCACAAAGTCCTTCAAAAGATGTGATTGCAATAGTCATTTCGGGCTTGTGGTTGTTATCAGGATAGTTTTTGCTATCTCTCTGGTGCAACAGTTCGGCCAACTTTTTATTGGGGTGGGCTTGGATACTGAGGGCCTTCTCGATAGAAAGAACCTTAAGTAAGAAGGGTAACTTGTTCCCGAATCTTTCACAGATGTTTGTTGAGATTAAATTGTGATCCTCTTGTATGAGCTCAAGTAGCGTACGTTTCGTTTGCACGTCTTTCGAAGGGTTCGAAGGGTGAGTTCCGATCCAAAGCTATTACAGTAAGTTAAATGCAGAATAATTTTAAGCCTAATACCTCTGCGTATGGTATATCTTGAATTACAAAATTGCTGGTAGGAGTCGCCGCCGCAAGCCTAGCAGCAGCGGAGTTTCTACCAATCTTTCCCCAGTCATAGCTGTTGAGTCCACATTGAAGCCTGATCAAGTGATTCTGCATGTTACCAGGTTATATTGAAAAGGATCGAAAGTGATAAAATGTTATTATGCTGGAAGAATTTGATGAAAGTAACGGAACCTGCCTCTTAAATTGTTTGTTGCCGGTGTCAACACGCACCAAATAGTGGGACATCACTCAATTAGAATCATACAGGCTTAGCTGGGCTAGCACAGCCTGCTAGCCTATTTTGTTCGTAAACAAGGTGTGATCCAATCAACTCCATAAATGGTGAGGTTTACGAGTTCGTTTCCATTTATGTTGTGTTGTATTGACTCGCGCAGATTGGGGCTATTGTTTCGGCATGTTATTGTTGTCTACTTCCAATATATGTTACTGAGAGCGATAGGGAAAGAATTGAGACTTTGGCCCCCTCATGATAACTTTCACCGTAGTCGCCGAGGAACCAATGGCATAAACCAAAAGTAATTCAATTTACAGTACTCCCGGCCTCTTCGAAAACAGCGGTTCAAAATTTCCGTAGAGTGATCCAAACTTTCAGGCCGGGAGGTATGATCAGGCCAAGCAATGCCCTCAAGATGCTACATGTAGTCCGTGCCCATGACGCTCAGAGCTATACCCTGAAGCATGTTTTGTAGTCGGATATGCGTCGCACATCTCAACAAAGCAGGCCCTACAGCGAATTGGGCAAAATTCTTAACATCGGCATTCCTGTGACCTCAATCTAGAATTCAGATATCGTTTATTCACGTCAATGCTTATCTTATCTAACATTGAAAGCTGTTTGTCATCCGTTTGATTAACTAGTCGATAACACACCAGTTTTGACTTCAGCATGACTGTTCGGCTCTAGGATATGTTATAAGATCCACAGAATAGCCTACAACCTAGAATATAATACATTTTAATATAAATTATAGCCAAAAAACTATGTCTACAGCTAGAAATAGGGTTCCAAGGAACGGTTCTCGAGGGGCTGTTCCTGATGCACTGAACCCAAATGAATTATGGCAAGAAATTGTAGGGTACTTACGAGATATTGACAAGGGTGAAAATAGAGCCGCCACAAACAGAAATTTAATAATGGAAGGTGAAGAGAGGTTAGCGACTAAGAAAGAGGCTGGTAAAAGTAGGTTAACTATTCTGCCCTTCACATAAATACTAAACAAATAGCCATTTCGGTCACTGAAACAGACACACACAGCGCTCTATTTCGTGAGGGAGTAAGGCTCTCAGAGCAGCAACTTGTGAGATTACAGGATACCTCCTTCATCACTAAACTTGAACTCCTCAGGGATATCCGGATGAGCAATGAGCTTGAAGCAGCAGCTGAAGCGACATCTACGTTGCGTGGAAATGGCACTAGAGCATCCCACTTAGAAACGGATGGGCCGGCTGAGTCCCCAGGGCCGTCGCAAGCCGAAGCGAGACAAATTCGCAAACTTGTAGCTTCAAGGACAAGCAGCCAACCTCCCAAAGGTTTCGATGATGGAAAAAGCGCCACACCAGAATCTAGCGAGCGTGCAACCAGAACAAAGGTTGTTTATGCCGTGGGCGATAAGGTAGCATTCAGAAGAAAGCAACAAATAAAACACCCCGACGGAAAAGTTACTGAAGAGTTGGAATGGATTCAAGGGAAAGTAAACAAAGTAATAGGAGAGGGTAAAAGTCGGCGATATGAGGTTAAAGATCCGTATTACACGCCCGAGTCAAACGACGGCCCAGAGTTCTACAAGTCTTCTGCTTCTCAAATGGTACCAATACCTGTGGAAGGTTCTACACTAGAAGACTATGAAATTGGTAAAAGAGTACTCGCTCTCTATCCTGACACTTCACAATTTTACCGTGCAGAGGTCAAGGGTACACTCAACGGAGGAACTCAGGTTCAACTCTTGTTCGAAGATGAGTTAGAGGGCGTGCTAAAAACTGTTTCACGTCGATTCACATTGGATCACAAAGGCTGATAAGCCCTATATAACTGTCAATTCCAGGTCGGTTGATGTTAGTTGCAATTATAGGCAAATTATACCAAAATCAGCATTGTCTATGTCACTTGAGTGAGTCATAATTCAGGCTCTCCTGACAAAAGTTAATTTCAGACTTATTAGCCATCATACTGACATATAAACCAAGGACATTTGAAGTAAAAATCTTATTTGAGTATATGTCATTCTTCAAACTATGGTTTAAAGTATGCAATATGCAGAAAACAAGTTGCCTAGATGATGAAAAAGTCCTTGAACGTCAGATCTAATCAGTATTGATATTATCACCCAAAGAATGAATCAATATCTACTGTTACGCAAATTATTAAGAGAACCAGGAGAAAAATCCGACTAACCCTACACAGCTTCAAGGTGTATTCTGCATCATCATAATCCTACGTCGTATTCTGGCCTTTAGATTAGTAAAGAAATCTCTATCTTGTAGTCTACAATGGTGAATTTTAATCATATCTCATTGAGTAGCCTCTCTAGAGTATGGAATCGCCTCATATATTATCACTCGGACTTAGCCAGTATTCAACTGTTAACGCACAATCTGGTCGAGATATTATCTCTTCAAGTAGAGTTAGCGCAGCTAAATAAGCAAGTCGGCTTTAAGATTAAACCTTTAGGGCCGTATATATGGTAACAATATGCTTCGGTCCTTTTAATAGGTTGAATTTTGGTAGCTCACAACATACAACCTTCAAAGAGTCAATTTTTCTGATTCTCCACAACCTCTATTGCATGTAGATACGGCTTGTCTGCAATTTTTTTAATATGATAGTATCTACGATGGAAAATTAAAAAAAATTGACATACTTAGTTCAGGTACTGTCTATAGGTGATAGATATAGAATTGCTCGAAATTTAGTTCTTTCAAATAACAACGTGTATGATAATTATTAATTGAGATAGTAGAGTAAATAGGACAGACATGCGGGCGATCTTCGAGAGCTTAATGGAATTCCTTTTGCTCAACCATCTGATTGATGCGCAAAGGCATAAAATTAAATATTCCTCAAAGTATTGGACTTACGTCTAATAGTCAATCCCATATCCTAAGTTTTCATGATATCTTAGCCGCTCTAGTAACGCACGATAGCATGCAACCAATTAATGTTTACTAATTCAGGTCATACGGAGCATAACCCTCATTATCTATTGGCAGAAACCAGGAATATTAATATTCAAAATAAAAATTATCTTAAAAGCTATTAAGATAGCCTAAGCTGTCATTCATTGTTTTTTTGGAGATGATAAGGATTTCAAACAATAAGAGTATTTAGGAATTTATGCGCTCTCTCCCTGCTGTCCAGTGATACCAATGCGTACACCAGATAATACTCAACGTTGTATCCTTTACTTTCTCATCTAAAAAAATAAGCCTCCCTGAGTCGTTGATTCATCAGAAACTTTTCAGAGCCTTCTATCCTTAATTTTTACCCCCTATCCAACTAACGAAATGCATAGAGCTCTTGGATGAGTTTCACTCAGTGGAATCTCACGAAGGCTGCTTAATGCAGTGATTTCCTTTAATCTACGTCAGGAATAAGATCTACGAAAATATTGTCTTTCTAAAGCGTTGCAGGAGATTGACTAGATAGGCGTTTCACAAAATGTTAAAAGCAGACAAGACGCTCTCTGACCTCATATTATCATCTCGATTCCTTCCTTATGTCATGCCTCAGGATAAAGAAATTATCACGCTAAATCCAATCATTATCTTGACAAGGAGTGTGGTCTGTAATACATACTTGTCTACTAACTTGTACCATCGTATACGGTGAGTTTTGCGGTACTGATTGGCACTAGGAGCCGAGTTAACTCAACTGAGTTATGGCTTCGACTATGCAGGCTCTCAGTGGAAGATGAAGCAAGTTTGGGTACACCACTAGTTTTTTTGCACCTGATTTTAATTGCGTATGCAGCTATCTAGCTATGACACAATATCAAAGAAAAGTACTTGATAGATGACTCAACACAAGGGAAGAGCACTAATGCCTCGGATTTAATTTGCAAGTACCACTGCCAAGTTATGTGGCTATTTCTTCACTCCAAGTCAATTCTCATCCGTGAATACCTACCCAGGGAGACTTCCAAAAACTCTAAGTTATCCAGACATGCCTCCATCATCCATTCATATTTCTCCGCGTGAAATGTGGTCTTAGGTGTCTCCTTCCAAAGTGTAGTAGGTACCCAGACTACTTAAACTACACCAGAGAACCCCACTAGAAGGCGGACTACGGCGCTTTCTATCGTTGGCTTGTGTTTACAGTGTCAGCTGCACTCTTGCAATCGAAGGCTTGACACGCACAAAGCTCAATTCATGAAACTCCTTGCCAAAATTCAAAATTTCACACACGTCGAGATAGTCTTCATCATCTGCATCGTCTTATCTACTTGTCCCGATATTTCCCACGCCCATTCCAAAGAACTGTCCCACAGACTTGTACGCTACGATTTTTATCCCCCTTCGAATATAAATATCAGCGTGGGCGTATATGTAGTGGCGAGCTGAGGCCAGAAAATAGTTGATGAGAGGTGTTGTCATTGGGATGAGGATGTATTAGATCGTGCTTGTAAGATTGATGGGACTTTGGTTGGAGCTTCTCTTATTGGGAGTGAGAGTTAAATCTGGTGAAGAGCCTTGAATTATTACCTCGTGAGCCAATCTGTTTGGTGTTGTAAATTTGATAGAACCTGGGTTTGAGAAAATACTCTGCTCCCAGGTTCGTAGAGGACGCTGCGGACAAATGTTCAGTCTTTGTCCTCCGGGACACTGCAGATAGATGTTGATTCTTTATCCTCTGCAACTCATGTATTGACGAAGGGAACCACACGCATTAGGCATGCCGGCATTTAGAATGAAGTGAGTTTCATTGTCTGGTGACTTAAATTCTGAACTATGCATATGTTTTTTCAAGCAGCAACATAGTTACACCAGCCTTGATTACATGTGGTGCATCCGATCCCAGCGATGACATCGGATTAATTTTCTGGGCTTTATAATTTGTCCGTGCGCACGGAGCACGTGAGGTGTAATTAGAGCTTTGTAGAACGTACATGCTTCCGAAACAGTGCCCTCACCGGCACGTAACACTAGGATTCCCACGAGCAGTCTGATTCTGTTACAGCATACCTCAGTAATTCACTTTGAGATATTAGATTAAGCTCCCGCCACGGAACAAAGTTAATAAAAAGAAGCTTATAACTGCAACTACTTGAACCGAGGCAAACGACAGACGAGTCAGTTTTGATATAATTAATTAAAAATAAAACGGGAGCACAAATAAGAAAATAGATAGCTTAAGATATTTCACTTTCGAGCAAAATCCTGGACTTGACGTTGCGGCTTTAAAGCTCCTGCATACTGCTTCAACATGGGCGCCCAAATCTCAAAGCTGATGAGCAAAATCTTTGGATCTAAAGAAATGCGACTACTTATGCTAGGACTCGATGCTGCGGGCAAGACAACCATTCTATATAAGCTTAAACTGAACCAAGATGTGACAACAATTCCTACCGTTGGATTCAATGTTGAGACTGTAACCTACAAAAATGTCAAGTTCAACGTTTGGGATGTAGGTGGCCAGGATAAAATTAGGCCCCTATGGCGGCATTATTTCAGCGGTATGTCTAGGAAGCATTTCTGTAGAATGCAAGACTCACACAGTGATAGGAACTCAGGGCTTAATCTTTGTCATTGACTCATCAGATAAAGTTCGAATGGAAGAGGCCCGTCAAGAATTACATCGCATTATAAATGATCGCGAAATGAAAGATTCTTTGCTACTCGTCTTCGCGAATAAACAAGACATCCCTGGAGGTAATTGTCTTCAAATTATCCTGCTTGAGATTTAATGAAACTAAAAAATTGCAGCAATGAAGCCTCAAGAAGTTACTGACGCACTAAAATTGACCTCTCTTAAGGACAAAATATGGTTCGTAGTACCTAGCTGTGCGACGACAGGAGAAGGATTACTTGAAGGCTTGGTGAGCAACCTCTATGACACAGAAAAAAGGTTTTCTGACAATTCGATAGGCCTGGCTAAGCAATAACGTTAAATCTCCCCCAAATGGACAAAAGAGGTAGGTTACAAGGTCATGTTAAAACCTCTTCCGATACACTCCAAGTCAACACGGCCTAGCTATTCATAACGACCTTACAAAACTCGCACCCCATATGTGTATTCTACGGGCATTACAGCCATTTCTTGAAGTTACGTTCGTTTACTCATTTACAGTCGACGGCATTTTATAAACACTTCATTTGCAATCTGTATTTTTGGGAAAAGCTCCAAACTCATGTCTGTACGGTTAAAGTGATACCCACTGTGGTTAGCGAGATGTTATATGGTAATTTCTTTTCTCTAAATGGATGGATGGGAATGAAATAATTTTCGGATGAGAATAAAGCAAGAGGCAGCTATTTTCGTGGAGACGAATTTGTTGAAGACCATAATTTATTAAAGGTGAAGACAGTGTTTCCAAAAAATACACCCCTCATCCAACAAATAGCAAACACTGGCCCATGTATACCCGAGAAAGTACGGTCAGCACACTATCTTATAGTCTTTCATAGGGCAAAGAGTTCTTGCACTATAACTACAAACGCACTTGAATCCTCTAGTTCAGGGTACAACGGGATCAAAATGGTAATAACAATAAGATTTAGTCCATGTGTGGAAGTTCGAGAAGGTTAGCCACAGGAAAGAAGACCTTTAAAGTGAGGAAATCAGCAATTGGTCAATGATCCTTGTTATCGCATATTAAGGCATTTGGCTCAGTCTTTTACATCGGGATTCCTGTTGATCCGAAGGTCCGATACAATTCTCCGCTGGCGATCTTCTTAAGATACAATAGAGGTTGTCCTCGTTCAGAAAATACAGCATATCTGTTTCGATTTCTCTAGCCTTGCGAGGCATTCTGTGCAACCAACAAACATCATTATTTAACCATTCTAAGTCTCAGCTCACGATTGGACTCGTTTGCTGATTAAGTTGTTCCGACGAGCAGTTGTGCACGCAACGTTCTTGAGCCTTTACTTATGATCCACGAACACTCAGATACTAAATAAGATTGAGAAATGTATTTCTCGCATTTGATTGTCTAGCTTCAAAATCCTGATGAATTTTAGGTCATTTTTGCCCGGCAGAGTGTGAAACATAGAAATTGGAGCGCGAAAATACATTTTAACTTGATAGTGCCTGTCACACTGCTGGGGACTAGAAAAATTACTTTTCATTACAATGCGGGCTTAGTTAAAAACTTTTTCTGTTTAAATTTGAAAGGCGTAGTAAAGGATATTTCGATAATAACATTGGCTATCATTCTGATCACCACTCTACCTATCGGATGCGGCCGATAAACAAAGGGTTCTTTGTAAGCAGCGCTAGTTTTTATGAGAACGAACTATCGTCTGTCCTTGCGGGCTGGTAAAGCTTATGCACTGTTTCTTTCGCACTAGTCTTTATACTGGCTTCTATTGGACGCTAATATCCCAAATCGTAAATGCCCCTCAGTTACACACGAAAGAACCACGTTGTAATGTATACATTACAACGTCCTGTGAATTAGAGGCCGTATGATGCCATCGTGTGTCATCAAAGCCTACTTGCAAACTAGACTATGGGTCACTTCACTGACAAACCCCATCAGACGCTGCAATTGCCTTTTGGGGATTAGCAAGGAAAGCCCGCTCTTGCGTAGACCCCGAAGTAAAGGGTTACACCGACTTATTAGGAATATGGTAATATTCCGGGCTTACCTCCATATTTTCATTTTATGGACGGTGAAATCGGTACCCCTGCAGACAGGTTGGACCGAGATACTAGCAAATGCAGTCCACAACTAATGCAGCTACCAATGCATCGGTCGAAAGATCCCAAGTGCACTATAGCAGCTGCCCAGGCTTCTCTTCAAACCGGATTCTAAGTTGCCGGCCACATATCCAGTTTGCAAAGGAACCCACTGAGTTTGGTCGAATCAGATCTAGATAGATCTTATGTAGTTCTCTTATCCTCTATCGTTGCAAAATGGGATCGCTCCTTTGAAAGAGAATAATAATTCAATACATTGGGTTAGACGTTGGTTTTCGAAACCATCTTTCTTGGTGCCAAACAGTCAAGAAGAGGAATAGAATCCCGCGGCAAGTCTAGGCAGTAATTTCAGCTAATTTAACCCACGTTGTTCAATGGCCACAGAGTGTAATCATCTCGCGAATGAAGTACTTACAAGAGCCGCCCTTGCCTGTGATATTTCCAACTCAGCCCCGGTAACGAAGATGAAGTAGCAGGCTCGTGTGGAACATACAAATTCGTATATCAATTAATGGCTGTTTCACCTGGTCAGGGTACCGGCTAGTTCCACTAGTGCCACGTCCACTGAGTTTCTAATGGCAGTCAGGCTTCGATTTTTTGGAATTGATGCCCTATTCTGGGCTCAAAATTCTTTTGCCTGCAGGCCCACTACAGCCGACGGAGATCATCATGCACATGTCCTAGTCACCGGGAACGCTTGGATGGCTACCGAAATAGCCGCAGATCATGCAGATGGCTCCCCCGCCTCGGCCCATGGCAAATGCGTTTCACGAATCTCTCGGCTTCTACGAAGTTGTTGCATCATTTCAACCTAAAACTACAAGACGGGTGCAGTGGTCGCGCAAATGCATCCTCGTCTGGCTGGTTTCATTCAGTTTTGAAGAAGCCGACGCCGGCTGCATGCCAAATATTTTTGGCGGAGGGCAGAGGCTGAACACTTTTACGCGTTGTTCTCTACAAACCTGGGAGTGAATATTCTCCAAGGGTCATGTTCAGTCTAATCTCGTAATGCCGAAGAAGATGGCCAACGAGGCAATGATCTAAGACCCTCCTAATCACTTTCTCCCTCAAAACAACATCGAAGCTCACCAACACCTCATCAAGCTTATAGGTACGACTTAGTACTTCCTAGTTTTAGTGACCACACCTTTCTTCGACCTTCTCTGGCCTCAGTTGACCACCAAGTACACGCCAATGCCGATGTTTATGTCCGAGGGAGGAAACGAAGCGTGGCGCACAAACCTAGGACACAGTTCATTGGAAGGGGCGTGGGAGAAATTAGGACAAGTTTACTAGATGACGCAGAAGATGGTTTCAATCTTGACAGGCGTGAAATTCGGAATTTTGGCGAGTTTCACGAATTAAGCTTTGTACTAGCCAAGCCTTCGATTGCGAGAATGCAGCTGACGCTGTAAACACGAGCCAACGATGGAGAGCGCCGTGGTCAGCCTCCTGGTGGTGTCCTCTGATGTAGTTTAAGTAGCCTGAGCACCTACTCCACTCGGGACGGAGAGGCCTCGGACCATATTTGGCGCAGAGACTAGCTATTGGATGATGGAGGCGTGTCCGGACAACTTAAGGGGCCTGAGAAGTTCTTTTGAGTGGGTATTCACGGGTGAAGGCTGGCTTGGAGTGAAGAAAAAGCCACCATAACTTCGCAGTGGTATTTGCGAATGAAATCCGAGGCATTAGGGCTCTTGTTTTTGTTTTGTTCATTAACGTACTAGTTAAAGTGACTACCGTTGCATTCCTACTGGAGCTTAAGCACGAGTGAGGTCGGGCTGGATCAGGTTAAATTCCATTAAGTACATCTACCGCGTCCCACCTGATTGACCGGACCACCTCAGACTTCACCTATGTGTTGAATCATACCGAGCCTGACCGTCCAGAAACCCGCTGTATACATGCCGTAGCGCAAATTCCTCCTCCGTCTCGGCCACCACGCGCCCGAGCCCTTGACACCTTTGCGATCTGTAAGTTTTCCCTTTGATTCATTCCCAGCTTTGGCTCATCTCAGCATCTCCTCATCTCATGCAGGGGTCGTTCTCTTCATTGGAGGCCTCATCCAGTCGCCCACCAAGACCTCCCCAGTTTGTATTCCCTTTTGGTTCCTTCATACAGCATCCCTCGGTCCTTCAGCCGATCTCGTCATCCCAGAAACTTTGTAGGATGTCTACCCCTCCGGCCTTGTCCCTTCGATGCTGTACCCCTAACCGTGGAGGTCGAAATGTGACTGAGAGCTCAAGACCGAGGCATCGGTGCCCCAGCCTTTGTCGAATGCTCTAATTGGTGAGCCGGCGAAATGTCGTACGTATTTCGTCGGTGGCAATTCGTCGCAGGTCAAGTTGTTGGTGCCCTTGGCCGCGGTAGAACGCATTTAAGGCCGGTATTTCGACCGTACCTTCACAGCGACTAGCAGTTGCCGAGAGTCGGACATCATCTCGCTCTTATGTTGGCGATTAGACTTCTGGGGGTATGCGATTGCTTCGGTAGGTGATGAGATGATTGTGGAGTGGGCCACGGTGACAAGTTTGCAATGGGGCATTGGCAGTGGTTTTAGCATGCAAACTGAGACTCCTCAGGCATTTTCACTTTCCGTATTGGTATAAATTTTCGAAAAATTTGTATGGCAGTTTTTATCTGGACACCATAGTTTGCAGTGGGTCTTTCCTTCTTACTAACCCTAATTTGTATAATGATCGGCTGCATAACATTTGTGCATTTTTGCTACCTGACTTTACAGCTTATTTACAAGAGTTTAAAGGTTTTCAAATTACAAAATAGAGCCAGTCTTATCCTAACCTTAGATTTGAACATGTGGCTGGAATATCTTCAGGCCTCAATATCTGGTCGGTCCCCCATCCGCATCTATCACAGCCTGACATCTTGCTGGCATACTCTGAATGAGTCTCACAAGATCTTCGGAAGACACGGAATCCCATGCCTCCTTTACAATGTTGCAAAGACTATCTTGAGTTGGCTGCTTTATGCAACCCAGATTCGGATAATGACGCTGGATGTAATCCTTTATCTTATTCCAAACAGCTTAAATCGGGTTAAAATCGGGCGAGTTGGCCGGTCAGAAAGTCGGTTGAACGAGCCTCTGGCTCATATCTTCCATTGTGCTCGCTGCTGTGTGGGCAGGAGCATTATCCTGCATTAATGAAAGCCAAGTTCTCATCGAGACTATGCCATCGATAAGAGGAACTATTTTCTCGCAAGTTTTTTTGGGAGTTAATAGATCCCTACTCCAGGAGGGCAAGACTGAACACCT